TTAAAAATAAATGGTAATATTGATGCAAACCTGACACGAGTCCTGAGTGCCTCTACCCGCGCACATCATGTTCTGCGTGATCCTGGACGCACGATACTTGGAGGCTCGGCACTCGGCGAGTGTCAGGATGGGCACCTGCACCTCCTGGATGACAGCGGGCAGCTGGCCACCCTCTTCCGTGCGGCCCCACCCGACCACCGTGCCCATGTGTCCCGCCGGGTCCAGTCCTGCAAACAAAACGTCACACTCCTAATCATAACTTTTAAAACTTGGAGTTAGTTAATTGTGAGGCAATTTCCCCCATCTCGTCCTCTGCCGAAGGCACCTTACTCAGCCCTTGCTTCTTACTCGTCAATGATCCGGCCTAGTGGCTCCATAATCATAGTTTACCTGCTTGCGGTAGGCACACCGGGCGGATGCGCTTGGTGAACTGTACCGGTTTCCGTAGCTTGAGGAGGGCGATGTCGTGGTTGTACGAGTTGACATCGAAGTTCCTGTGGCGGATGACTAGGGAGACGGCGCGCATGATGGCGGGAGCGTCCGACGTCACATACTGATCGTGGTCGCCGAGAATCACTCGGATTTTCGATCTCTTCAACCTGGAGGGTTATAAAAGACGATCTTTTATTTATTCACTTTTTCCCCCTGCTGACATCGGGAACACTCTTTTCTCTTTTCATTGCGATCTCGCCCGCCTAACGCGCCATACAGCCGCCGAAATGTTCCGTCCGCGATGTTTATGGAAAGAAGACCACATTTTGCTAAACTCGTTCTGCTTGTGCGCCCACCACGACAGCGGCAGGGAGCAGCCACACCAGAGCTTTTCCCTTCATTCGCATTGGTTCCAGGCGATCCTTTATGAGTTTACCGGTTTAATGGTTCACACTCGACCTCCTTCCTCCGGCAATTAGTGTGGGCGACAAATTTGCTGACCATGGCATCGTCGAGGTGATTTAGATTGACGTGATCGTTCCAGCAGTCTGACCTAACTCCGCGTTTGCCGGAGCATGGTGGAATTGTAAATGTAGTGAACTGTTTCATTTAGACGGGAATCCTAACGACCACCGCCTTGAGAAAAGCTCCTAGCCAAGGGAGGGGGTTTGAGTCGCCCGCCTCGGCGCTGTCAGTCCGAGTCGCCCGCCGGCGATACTCCGCGCCGCGAGTGTCTGCCGTGTCGAATGGGCTGCCTACCTACTCGGCGCTCGCTCGCAGCCGGCCCGACAGGCGGCATGAGGTTGCGTTAGATGCACCTTTGCTTAGCGTTTAGCTCCCGTCAGGGACAGGCTAAGGAGGCCCCACTGCCTTGCGCCCAGCCGCTAGGCAGCCCATCCTGGCCGCCTCAGCACTCACCTGCGGACACAGTGCGCCGCCGTCAGGACGAAGTCCCCGTTGAGCAGGGAGCCGCCGCAGTGGAACTGCACCTTTGCTTAGCGTTTAGCTCCCGTCAGGGACAGGCTAAGGAGGCCCCACTGCCTTGCGCCCAGCCGCTAGGCAGCCCATCCTGGCCGCCTCAGCACTCACCTGCGGACACAGTGCGCCGCCGTCAGGACGAAGTCCCCGTTGAGCAGGGAGCCGCCGCAGTGGAACTGGCCGTCGTACACCAGGCGCACGACCCACGGGTAGCGGTTGACCCCCGTGGGGCGGCCGCCCACGATGCGGATCTCTTGGTTGATGACGCCGCACTCTGCTGTTGAGAGGTTGGGGAAAAGAAGACGAAAACAATGCATTCAGACCCCCTGCTTCGACGTATCGCCGTCGATTTAATAATCCGAGCTGGAGAGAGGCTTACCGCAGTCACAAGATGTGCCGGTTTCCCTCTCATCTTCGAAGTCCCCAAAAAATATGTCGTCGAAGAGGAGCCTGGAGCTGTTGGCCCGCGACCGTCTGGTCAGCCTCCCGATGTCGTTATCGTCCTGGACATAGCGAAAGAGTTAGGGGTTAGCATCACACAAGTTTCGCACTTTGCTCGAGCACCACCTCCTGTGTGAAGGTGGGCCGGAAAAATACTTTCGTTTAATTTCTTTGCTGGCCAAAGGTTGTAATTTGATGGGAAAACCACTCTAAAATTTTTCAAGAAAATGGAACGTAACTGAACCCTTCCGTAGTGAGCTTAAGGCTCAAGAAACTTTAGCTCTGGTTTTATATGTGCAACTCAGCTTAAAAAACTCTATGAATTCTACTAATATCTTGAAATAAAATATGTCACTTCAAGAACCGTCTTTGTCAATGTAGGCGTAGGCATTGTAAAAACTTGTTTCTTCCGAGTGTAAATCGAAAATTTTGATGGTGCAAATATCACCTCGCTAAAGCAAAAATTGGGTTTGCAAGAAGAACATAATCAGCAAAAATCTTCATCAATAAGTATTTCTTACAAATTAATTCGTTGCCCTTGCCATGTGTAAAATTTTGGTTCTCCCTGCAAACTATGTAAACCTTGCACAAATACATTTTTGCTTTGTCCATATTGACAGAGACGTTGTTTGTTGTATTGGTGAAATCCTTTTTTTCGTGTGATAGAAATATTAAAATATACTAATTTTCATATTTTGAGCAATTTGAGTATTTTGGAGGATATGTCTCTGTATTGATATGTATGCACCACAGCCTCTGATTTGGTTTTTGTCAGTAGGTCCCGTTTTTGACCATTGTCCTTACGACCACAAAATATTTTAAGCTGCTTACCAATACATTTCTTGTTTCTGTTACTGTTTCTCTAGTTCTCTATGGTATCATAGACCTGGACCACGGGAGAACAGTATACATCCCTATGGGCAAGCCACGACAGTTTTACCCCATGCATTCCCCGTCATTTGCTGTTACGAGATTGTCCAGTTCAGCGTATGCAAGCTCCCATAGCACCTTATTGGTAGGCAACATCTTGCCTTCAATGCATGCATGTATTGCGGAGTGGCCTATACCGAGTCTCGCAGGCGCCCAACCCCTATACACGAAGGCATTTAATTTAGTTTCTCTCAAATGTAAAATCTGTCACAAGTGACGATTTAATCGTCGCAGTCATGGCTAAGTATAATTCGTCATACACTGTTAAAAAATACTTTTTGATATCGAATATTTCTGCACAGCGAAATTCTTTCAAAGAATTTTGAAGCACTGTAAGGAAGTTTGCATTGCAAACTATTCTCTTTGCATTGCGAACTAATTTCTTAAGCTGCGAATTAATAGTTTGAAGGGTTGCAAACTAATTCTTTGCAGCGTGACTGACAATTTTCCTCGTAAGGTGCGAAGAACTAGTGCGAATGATTTATTTTGCAATGCAAAGCATTTTACAATGCTTCAAAATTCTTTGCAATTCAAAGAATAGTTCTTCGCAAGCTTTTTACCGTGTGACACGAAGTAACTATGTGAAATCACAACACTTCTTTGTAGTCAAAAATAAATAAATTTTGGGTTCAGAATTTGAAATAGTTGTGACCCATTCGTAATCTGTTGTTAGTTAATTTTTGTAAACAAAGAGAGTTGTGATTTCCCTAAAAATCACAGAGAGTTCTGGCAACTTTTTTCACAACAAATTCTTGTAAAGTTCTGTTTCTTTTGTTTTTTTAACAGTGTAAAGGTTGACGCATCAGGCAAGCAAGCATTGTTGTTAGGCCAGGACCAATAAAAACTTTGTTCTAGCAGCCAATCAGTTCTGGCAACGCAAATTCTCGATTGTCACTTTTGTTTTGGATGTTCTTTCCATATGTGAGAACGGTCATGTGGGCGAAACGTCACCACAATTTCTCATATCATAGGCTTGAGGCATGCCACATATCTCACGGGTGCCTTTCAGTGTTCTGCCTCAAAAATCGTTCGGTGGACTGCCAGTGGGTCTCCATCACATCAAACTGTTTCCCTTTCTCCGCCTCTCTCCCATTACAACAGCGGCGACCGCGGTGCCGACGGGACAGGCGTCCTTGACCCCTAAGCGGCGGCCGCGTCGTGCCGGCGTTGTGAAGCACCAGATGCGGCCGGCGGCGTCGCGCCTCCTTCGCTCGCGCGCTCGCGCCGTCGCGCTTCTTTTGTCGGGGATGCGTCGCGACGCCTTTCAATGAGACAGCACGTCCGTGCTGCCGCCGGGGCGGCCGGGACCGCCAGGACGCGTGCGGTGACACGCATGGCCGCAGTTAGGCCCGCTGCGCGGTTCAAAGATCAACAAGAGGCGACCGGACCGGAAGGAAGCGCGACGCACCTCCGCCGCTTCCTCTCGGCCGGATGGACAACCGGTACACTTAGGCTGCCTCAGTCGCGACGCGCGAAGCCCTGCGTCCGAAACACGCGCACACAGATGGACGCGCCACCGCCACCCAGTTCGCATCGACAGTATTCTCATCGCTGGTGGGGGATGGCCTGCCGGGCGCGCGCCGCTGTAACACCAGGTGAAATCGTATGGGACTTTCTATTAAAACATAACCGCTTTGCCTTTGGGCCCCGGGCAGCGCCGGGCGGCCGCCACGGGAATGGCGTAATAGAAGGGACGCCGAGCCCGAGGCACTTTGGCACCAGTCATCGATCCATGGCAATGAGGCAGTCCTAGCCGAAGGATTGAGTCTCGTCAAGCATAAAAGTCACCTAACGTTTTTATTATTTATTTTCAAAAACTGGTTTCAGTTAGCCAGTGGATGGCATGCATTTAAAAGTTTTCTTTTTTGTTTTGTTTTTTCAGTAGAAACACAGATTGAATACCTGCTTCATTGAAGCTGCGATGGTTTCCCAAATCTAAGGACTAGCACATGAGCGAAATAAAATAAAAAATCAAACTATGGGTTCGGCTCTTCCCGCCTGCTGGTATAAGAAACGGTAGATGCGAGCTAAACCTTAAAACTATGTAATGAAAACAACCTACCCCGATTCGACACTAAGTTCAAAGGTACTTATCAGTATAATGACCGGAACGTGTTCTGCTTGACCAATCCGGAGTCCACAAGACGCAGAAACGGGAAAGGAAAAGAGTCTCAAACTGTTTCCGTGTTCCGAACTAACGCATACGCCGTGTACAACTCGTTCAGTGCGGCCTGAGTGCGGCTGTTGTATTTTGGGGGATGGTAAAACCAGCACAGCGTAGCGTGACCACGTTGTGGCCGCACCACACTGAACGTGTTTAATGCAATGACCTGTCCTGCTATATTTTTTTTTACTGTGGCGTTCTAAACGATTACCGGTAATTGGGCGCGCCTTGATCAGCGTCGTCAGGCGCGTCCAGGAGGCGCCGCCGCCACTGCCTCGCCAATCAACTCCGTGTATTACGGCAGAGAGACGCCTGCTTGGCATTGCGCATTGTCCCCCGCACAATGACGGGACCAGGACCATCTTCACTCACTATCGATTGTTTTAGATGCGTGGCGTGGGGCCCTAGCC